CCGTTTTTATGGATTTCATCATGTATATTAACTTATTTTATATTCTTAAAGCTTTAAGCACTTTCAGCACCCATTGTTACTAGGAGGATAGAGATGTTTTACATTCAAATGCCATTGTCCATCATGGCTACCTCCATTTAAAATAATTAATTTTTTATCCAATCTATGCAGAATGAGCTTATAGTATCTTAAAGTCTTCAAGTTGTGTGCTGGATAGTATGCATGATGTAGTGATAGGGATGATCCTGTATATGCGTTCACAGTACAAGATTGTGAAGTTAATGAAATCAAAAACATCCTAATTTCAATAGAGAAGGTTGCTGAAACCATCAGAATCAAATGATCCTGTAATTAATATAATTAAATCCCAACCCAAGCACTCTGACTGGTAGACTTCAAGATACTATACGCTCATTCTGCATAGATCGGACAAAAAATTAATAATTTTAAACTGAAGGTAACCATGGTCACCCCCCCCTTCTCCTTTGACCAAGGGTCCTGTAAAGTACTCGAGAGATAGACGTAGTTATGCAATAAAATCCATAAAAACTACTCTCATTTAAATGTATAGTGTTTATAAGAAATCATTATTGCATATAATTGTCTTAAATAACATCACAATTTTTTATTATGATCCGCATAAAAATTAAAATAATTTAACTTACAACACCAAGAGGCACACTTAATGTTGTTTGTAGAGATGTAGCTTCCGTTGGTCTAAAGTGAAGCTGATAGTTTGTGACTTTAAGGACTCCTCTGGAGGGACCACTGTAAGGACAAAGGTAGGTCACATCTCTTGCAACACCCATTACTTTCTCTCCATCTAATAACTGAATATCCCCTAACACATGTGACTGAAAATAAAACAATTATTTATTATATATTACATTGAACAACAATGAAGCTGATATATAAAATAAGCATTAAAATTATGCAGGTTCTTAATAATGTTTTTAAATAAGAAATTGTCATCATCATCATCATATAATTTTTTACCAAGAAGTGTTATATTGTTTAAAAATAATAATTAAGTGAATATATTTATAGTAAACAAGTACAAGCCTTGTTGATTTTATTATATTCTTTGTGGCTTCTTATTCGATTGACGAACAAACAAACGTGAATAGACTTATTCTGGCTCATTTTGCACTAACACAAGGTGTTAAATTTTAAGAACACTACAAAAGAACTATGAATAATCTATAGGAAAACTTCCAGTAGCATCCTTCAGGAAGTGACCAAGCAACGGTTATAACATTTATGAGGAATAAATTAATCCTTTTAGGAAACTTACGGAGTCTTGTCCGTGTTTGGAATTCAATGAACTCGATTTAGAGTCCGAATCCAGGGAATCTGAACTAGCATTTTTGGACAGTGAAAAATCTGAATTAAGCAACTCTGAACTGTTGTGCTTATCCATTGCAATAGGAATGATTAAAGAACTCGAAAAAACACTAGAATGATAAAGTATATCTAATCTTTCATATTATTTTATAAACATCAACTTTAAAAATTAGGAGACAAATTCTCAAAGTTGTCAATGGATTGCTTATGGATGTCAAAAATTTGACAATGTCGAATTGACATTGAAAAATGACATTCTGTGCTGCCAATCATGAAGGTTAGAGAACAGGAGAACGATCACTACGTACTAAAGCATAGCCCGCCGCCTGTCCTTGAAATACAATCATCATAATATCTAGTATATACACAGTAATCTATGATTCTATGAATACAATTTTGGAAATGTAGTGTGACAACATGTGAATACATAGCGGCGCTGACGTCGATGAGTAGTGACTGCGAAGTTAGCTGTTTATGAGTACAAGTAGGTAAAGTTAGTTGAATAATGTACAAATTTTCATTTCATTTTTCGTAGAAAATTTTTATGCTCCGTAATTTTGTAATTTTTGACAAAAGAAACATTAACCCTTTCACAGCGGAGCATTTTAAGGCGCCGCTTGATACGAATGCCGAGCGGTACTCGTGATTCGCTGTGAAAGGGTTAAAAAATGGAGAAATATTTTATTGTGCGTGGATGTGCAAGTGGTTGAGCATCTGATCGGAAAAATAGACTGAAAATGACTTTTATTGACTGCACTTAGTGATCGCAGCGCCTCACTGATGGTCATTCTCCTGTGCTCTAACGTTCATGCTGCCAATTTATGTTTTTGGACTCCGCGGCGCAATAAGCTTAATTCCCCGCTTTTCCATGCTGTTCTTGATTTAAAAGGTTTTCTTTCATCGATTTCCCGTAAAGTTATGCATCCACATACTCGCATTGTACGGTACGCCGCCACGGAGTAACACAGGCCGCCGCGCCGGCGCTTCAGTCCTTCGGTGGCACGTGTTGCTCCATGTACGCCGCGGACTATGTATTACAATATTCTATCCTCTCAAAAACCTAGCGGGCTCATGAGCCTGCGGCCATATTCCGTCAAACCCCTACCGGTCTCATGAGACCGCACCCACCCACAGCACTTTAACCCATAAAAACTTATATTTAGAGACTACTTTTCTACGAAGAAGTTTGGCATTATAGGCTCAGTGTGAAATTTCTTATCCTCTAATGCAATAAAAAGTAATTAGTCTACGTTTTTTTATTTGTAATCTACGTTCATTTCGTATGCCTATTTCGTGTGGCGTATTATTGTGTTGATTTTTGGATTTTTCTAATGTTTTATTCGTGTTTAGTATAGTGTTTTATTATAAAATTGTTATAAAAGTTTTTGTGTGAATATAATTTATCTTTTTTCGTAAATATTTTCGAGTAATATATAGAAATAATTGTGATATTCAAGCTGCTATCCTGTGCTGGGTTCGTACATTTTAACTATGAAAATACAATTAAATCGGTTTGTAATGAAGTAAAAGCACTAAAACAAGTAATATTACATTATAATGAAACAAGTATTATATTGAAATTTATAATGAATATTATTGAAAATAAATGTATGACAAATTCAAGGTTAGGTTTTTTTTATAGAATAGGGTGACAAATGAGCACACAGTCCACCTGATGGTAAGTGGTTGCTGCGGCCCATAGACATCTACATCTGTCCTCGATTACAAATCAAAATGCAGATGCGTTGTCACCCGTGAGGACTAAGATGGAATGCCTCGTTTCCAGTAAAAAGGGTCTCCGGTTCTCTACACTCATCATACGAAACACAGCAGCATTACGCTACTATTTCACGCTGGTATCCTGTGAGAGCGTGGTCCTTCCCCGGTCGAGCCAACCCATCCGTGTTACAACTATACTACTAATATAACTGCAGCATGGCTCTACCACGTGTAAATTTTATTTAGGTTATTTTTAGCGTTGCCGCGTCACGCGAAGCGAGCGAGAGTTGTCAATTATTTTAGCTGGAGGCTGAGGGGTGCCGCGGACGAATCGTATCAAATAGATTTTTGGAGATTTTAGAATTATTTTTTGTATGGTAAACATTGATTTTTCAATCATAAGAAGCTATTAATAGGTTTAAATACAAAATAAACAAATTAAAAATTACATTTGTATGAATAAAATAGTTCTATTATTTCTCCTTTATATTCATTCAGGCTATAATTTAGTTGATGAATGACTTTTAATCTGATGATTTGAAATCAGTCGTAAGTCAAACAATAAGTGTGTCTGCTGCTAACTGATCCGCTGCGGACGGATCGCACGCTTCGGCTGACGGTAATCCGACGCAATTTTTCGAAGAGGCAATTATTCCGATGCGTGACGATCCAAAATAATACGGAATACCAATCAGCGGACGGCCAGTGCTATATATCCGATAAAATTCATCACTTCAATTTAAATTTTTTTAAATTGATCTCTTCTTGAATGTATCATGTATCTTCATATTAATAACATATTTCCTCTTTTCTTTCCACTTCTGCTAACAAACAAGCAGCCATGACAACTTCTTCAACACTCCATTTTTTATTGCATACATAGTTTCCGCTCGTCCACTAGCTACGAAAATCACACATATTTTTCACACACATATTGTTAAAAACATCCGATTGCGAAAGGTCGTCGCGTCGGCTTCCGATTGTTGTGCATATAGTTGACCTAAGCAACTGCTTATGTACGTGATACGAACTGTCCGAAGTGAGCTTGTGAATGCGTACCTTATATTTGTATGCGTTCTATGTTTTGTTATGAAAGATATTCAACTTCAAGTATTACATGCTTCATTAAATCGTAATTAAACTTTTAAAATTACCGAATTTGTCAATAAATATATTTTAGCCGAGTTACAAACACAAGAAATTACTCTAATCGATAAGTATGTTTTTTTTTTAGAAATGTTCGATTTCTCGGAAATAGTTGAAAATAGCCGAATTAAAATTAAAAAATTAAAAAATGATTCCTTCTTTATGAAGCAGACCATTCTTCGGGAGGAGGGTGCTACGTTGCGGTCGCAAACATTTTAATAAATCCGCCTAAGAGTGGAATAATAGGGGTTAAAGTTTTAAAAGTAATTTGAAGAACATTCTAGTTGCTACCTAGAAATTATGAATTGATGGGATACTAAGCATTATCTGGTGGCTTCACTTTTGTATAATCTCAGTTAAATACAAAACTTAGAAGATTGGATCATTGAGGATTTTCTGTAATGTCTAAGCTTGGCAGATGGTTTAGCGATTGCATCGCCAGACATTTCGCATCTTTGCCACTGATCCCCGTTACTAATATAGAAATATTTTAGTGATTTTGAGATTGTGAATCCATCATTACTCCAATGCCTTTGGATTTTCAAACGGTGGACCATTTGTTTACGACACCCAAGAAATGTAATGGGATACAAATACAATAGAACACACACACAGAAAATCTGTAGCTAATCAGGCGTTACCAATATATATAAGCATATTCATCGCGAATGTTAAATCAATAGTGTAACTGTGGTTACCCACGTTTAAGCATTGTCACGGTTATGCAGGTTTCTTTATAGGATACAACTTTACAACATTCTTTAAGAAAGTCTTATTAAGCAGCTAGTAAAATGAAGATCCCTGTTAGTATTTCTTTAAGTACCTATTTAGCATACTATAAAAAAGGTGACAATTGTGAGCCTCAACGGAAATTAAAATCTGAAAACTTTGAATGGGATGCGAATCATCCCAAATCACTTTCTTCTCTTTGTGTTGAAAAATTAAGTGAAAATTGGGTTGGTAAGTGTAATTCCAAAGAGTTTTTTAAAATATTACAGTGAAAAATGAGCTAACCGTCCACCTTTTTATAATAATATAGGATAGGGTGACAAACTAGCATACAGTCTACCAGATGGTAAGTGGTTGCTGCGGCCTATAAACATTTACATCTATCCTCGATTACAAATCAAAATGCAGATGCGTTGTCACCCGTGAGGACTAAGATGGAATGCCTCGTTTCCCGTAAAAAGCGTCTCCGGTTCTATACATCCACCATTCGAAACACAGCAGCATTAAGCTGCTATTTTACGCTGGTATTCTGTGAGATCGTGGTCCTTCTCTGGTCGAACCGACCCAAACGTGCTATAACTATACTATTAATATAACTGCAGCATGGTTCTACCGCGTAAAAATGTCTATACCTGATGGTAACGGGCTTCAGCAGTTTCGATAGATTATCTTATGGATTTTAATATTAAATGAATCACAGCCGGTACATAAACTCATTTTATTACCCTTCAAATCAGAACAGCGTGACCTGTAGCTTGGTGGCAGAAATAGTTACCAAGAGTGAGAGAAGTGAGGAAATAAGCTCTTCTACCTAGTCTGAAACACGTAAATGAAATATGCATGTAAAAATGAAATAAATTAATAGTATTATGTAATATTTTAGGATCTCCCAAGTTGAATGAACTAATTGCGAAGGATCGTGACTTGTTCCTGCAAATTTTAAATACTAATGTACCACTTCAAATTTTGGTTGATAATATAAAAAATGATGTATTTTGGAAAAGATGTTATTATTCTAAATGGAATGATTCGTTGTTTACTAATGAACAAAAACCATGGATCAATCTCTTCATAGAGCGTTTTTATGCAGATGTATTGGAAAAAATGAATCCAAAGAATTACGATCCGGAGAAGGTAGCGAAAATATTTACAACCTTAACTACTTCCATACAAAGGTTAAACAAGTCTACTTAAATGTAATTACATTATGTTAAAGAAAATACCAGCTTATATATTTTACTCTAACGATGGGCACAAGTCTCTTCTCATTTCTGAGTGCTTTTCTTAGAGTATATAAACCTCCACCATATTGTCCAAAGTGAAAAAACATTTCGAGAACTTCACATGTTCTTAAAATGTTTTTTTATATTAAATTTATGTACATATTATGACAATTTATTTATATACTGGTGACCTTTTTACCGTCAGGATAAAAAATAGGGTGTAACATGTGAACAGAGTAGAAGCCTATGGCACTAATATTTTACAAAAAATAAAAACAAAAATTATGAATTAAACTTTTGAAATTTTTTGAACAATTACTTTACCCTTTGCCCTTGAGCCTGTGATCCTACGACGTGACAAGGTCAAAGATGAATTTCGACAGATCTTAATTTATTTATTTATTTTATTAAAAATATATTTTTTATTTTTTTGTAAAATATCAGTGCCATAGACTTTTACACCGTTCACATGTTACACCCTATTTTTAGCAGACGGCAAAAAAGGGCATCCAGTATGTATAAAATGTATGTGTAAACATGTTACTTTGTCTAAGATATACACAGTTGTATTTTATGATTTTTCCTTAAAAATTTGTACAACTCTAAAATAATGATAGTAGTGTAATTCTTTCATTTTAGGCAAAAAAGTTGGTAAAGCTTTGTGGACCTTATGTTCAATCGTTGATAATAAAAAGCTTAGTTCCATCTGATATTCCTGTACAGAGGACTACCTCTCCAGAAATGGCTGATCTGATAACATGTCGGCGACAGAGTGAGCAAAAAACATCAAAAAATATCCATCATTTAAATAGAGGTGCTTATGTACTCAGTTTTATTATTTGTCTGTTCAAGCTGTATATTAAAATATTTTATTTTGCTATATAATTCAACATTTACAGATCATATATCGTTACATGCAGCCTTAGGTAGTTTAACTAATTTGACAGAATTACACATCACTTACCAGCTGAGTTCTGTTGGCGAGGAATATAGAAGAGACCAATTTCAGTTCACTAATAATGATGCAAAGAATTTAGCGTCCGGCTTGGAGAAATGTTATCTCTTGAAAGTACTCAGGTATACTTTTATCTATGTCAATGTTTAAGTAGAGAATTAAGGTTCGTAGATTAGTCATAGTCTACTTATGTCTTGTGAGGCCCATGAGTAGCTTCTAAATACCCATGCCCATGTAGTCAAACTGTGTAAAATACAGTGACTAAATATATTATTGTGTTTAGTAGCTAAATATCGTACGTATTCATCGGTGTAAAAAGTCAAGCTTCTTTGTCAATGCATTTAAAATATATGGTCCGAAAGCCAGTGTTAATTTACTAAGGCTGGTTTTATTGTATGTAGTTCCTTGCAATGGCTGTATACACAAACATAATGCGGTCAGTCTTCAATTTTGAAGTGTAGTAAATAAATTGCACATTATTTATTTTTCTACATACGAGTACTTGGTGACCGACTGGCCAGCTCCATCTCCATATTCAGCTGACTGACCATCACAACTTTTATTTTTTAGCGGCGCTGTCGTCGCGCCACAAGCGAAATACACCGAAGCTTAAATCACGCTATCAACATTCCGAATCATAGACAGTATATATAGAACTTCTCCGAACTATCACTCGGAGTGTTGGCCGCTCCCCGGGCAGAACACCTTGTCCGGCGGGAGATCTCCCCTTTTCCTTCCACGGCCACAGTGGTGACCCCGACGTGATCTGAACACGCAACCAAACAACCTTCGGAAACTTCAAGCTTCATCATCGTCATAGAATACCCCACCCATTCGCTCCCGAGCAGATATAAACTGCAGTCTTCATATCCTGCAAGCCATCTAGCTTCACAAGGTTCATCGCAGCACTGGAGTAATAATGCTTCCTGTTACTTCAAGCTACTCTCTGCGCTATACAGTGTTCGGCACGGCTCTGAGCCTTACTGCTCGCCTCTGCTTCACGGCACTCTCGCAGATTACTTGCTTTCTTCTCGACTCACCGCAGACTACAAGGCAATCTCCTGGCACTTGCACATTCGTCGGCAACGAGGCTGCACTATCGACCTCCGGTCTGAGTAGGGGGGTGATTTAGCGGCGCTGTCGTCGCGCCACAAGCGAAATACACCGAAGCTTAAATCACGCTATCAACATTCCGAATCATAGACAGTATATATAGAACTTCTCCGAACTATCACTCGGAGTGTTGGCCGCTCCCCGGGCAGAACACCTTGTCCGGCGGGAGATCTCCCCTTTTCCTTCCACGGCCACAATTTATATGTTATACAAACAGTATAACAATTTGCAGCCTTAGTAAATTCATGGTACTTCGGCAGGTGCGTACCTTTGATAGCGGACCTGAGTCACCTATTCTCAGTTTCGCTTGACCGACCGCAGTATGTTTGTGTACACAACCATTGTAATGAACTATAAAAATACTAGCCTTAGTAAATTCAAACAGTTTTTAGGTGCTGGCTCTCCGTCTAATACTGCCGTTTATGTCACGTATTTTGATATCCGCAAACTTACTCATCAGGTAGGTAGTTCCAATTATTTATCGATGACCTAGAATTATGAAAGGCAAGAATCAGAGCGACATTATTACAGGTAGTGAATGTTGGATTTATCAATACGAACCGGAAACGAAGCGCCAGTCGACCGTTCAGCTGTTTCAAAATGAACCAACGCCTACTAAATTGAAGCAATTAAGAAGCGCAAGGAAGATTTAGATCGCTAGTAGTTTTTGTCTACTTTTAGAAATATCCATTAGCAATTAAAATTACAATTAAAATTCATAAAGTACATTTTTATTTTATATTGATGAAGTATCTAGGATTTTAGAAGGACTGTAAAGAAATTGACATCATTTCTGGCATCGATGCCGTGGTATAGGTACCTCTACCAAATGCTTTCCAGATGTGTTAACTACTGTGAGCAGCAAGGTACCGAACATGAGCTCTGCGGACTACTGTTTCACCATGAAAACTTGCCCCCGCCCCTTCAGCGCTCAAAGCGAGCGATTTCTTGGTCAGCACATCGCTTAAGCTTTTAGGTCACTGTCCTTACAGCTCTGATTTGTCACTGAATGACTTCTTTTATAAACAAAAAACCAGCTGAAATGGTTTTATTTTCAAGTAACTCTTATAAGAGGCGGGGCGGAGTGCAGAAAGTGTTTCGAAAATTGATTCAGTAGCATGAAAATATTTAGTTGTAAAAACTTTAATCGCAAAACTTTCTTTAATGTCGTAAAACTTTTTCTTAGAGGCCCACGTACGAGTTTATTAGCCAATACCACAAAAGCTGTCTTTTTGCTTGTATCGCTTATATAAGTTTTAATGAATCTCTTTTATATTTTAGAATTACTAGAAGTGACATGAATTGTCAAAGGGTAAAATATATTTTACGTGGACTATCGGAAAACTTAAACCTAGAAACTCTAGACTTCAGCCACTGCAAAATTGGCGACGAAGGTGCGTCGTTTATCGCCAAATTCATATCGAAACGCGACAAACTCAGAAATCTTATTTTGACAGACAATCTGTTTGGTAACATATTTTAGTTTTGTAATTTGTAATTGCAAGATAAAAAAATTAAATTTAAAAATTACGTTTCTTGCAGGGCCCGATGGAGGTGAACATATAGCACATGTATTAAATCATACATCTTGTGGTCTGCGAACCTTAGATTTGCGACTAAATAATAAACTTGGCTCAGATGGTATCGCACACATAGCAGTTTCACTTGCACGGGGATGCAATCTAACCTCGTAAACAAAATAATTTTTATTTAATATCTTACATACAGTCCATTCATCGCCTACGCTGCAAAGGAGCAAACCTCATAAAAACGGTCGAAAATTAGTTAAATATACGATATTATCTGAGTACATTTTCAAAGTAGTAATAGTAAATTAAATATTGATTTCTATATCTGTTCAAACTCACTGAAAATCAGCGCCGTTGTTTCGGAGACAGCATATAAGCTGATGAGTGAGGTCCGTTTGCCCAACGCGTCACAACCACAACACGCAACACAGATAAGCTTTTAAACATACTTTTTTTAAAATTATATCCGTTAAATTCTTGTTTTTTTTTTTTGAAAGTTTTTATACTTTTATTAATTGCTATGTCTACAAATATTAAAATTTAAGTGCCTAATGATGTTTGTGGCGTGATGCAATACATGTTTCTTTCTTTCTTTTATTGCAATTTTAATAGATATCACACCTTTTTACATTGATAACCAAGACAAGGCAAGATTGAATAGGTTTTTGTTAAGTCTATACGTGGTAGAGCCATGCTGCAGTTATATTAGTAGTATAGTTGTAGCACGAATGGGTCGGCTCGACCGGGGAAGGACCACGCTCTCACAGAATACCAGCGTGAAATAGTAGCTTAATGCTGCTGTATTTCGTATGGTGAGTGTAGAGAACCGGAGACCCTTTTTACTGGAAACGAGGCATTCCATCTTAGTCCTCACGGGTGACAACGCATCTGCATTTTGATTCGTAATCGAGGATAGATGTAGATGTCTATGGGCCACAGCAACCACTTACCATCAGGTGGACTGTGTGTTCGTTTGTCACCCTATCCTATAAAAAAAAGTCAGTGCGCTTCACCATCTTAGGCTACATCACCACTTACTTACGTGGGGTTGCTTGTAGTTAGTAAGCGCTGACTTAGAATATTAAATTTAAAAAAAAAACAATAAACTAATTCAATTTTACTTCTAAAAATATATTATATTACTGTTATGGAAATTTTACGAGCAAAAACCATTAACGATTTTGATAAAATCCAAAACTTTGAGCATATCATTTAATAGGTACTAAATAGGAATAACATTTGCGTGCATCTTTTTAGATCATGCATACTACGCGTAAGCCAATTTTTTTTTAAAAAAAAGGCTGATATTATGGAGACCACACCTTTTCTTCTAAATTCTAAAAACAACCCTTTAGATATACAAAGTTATTTTATAAAGAGTAGCCCAATTTGAAACTTAATTTCAAATATATAAATTGATATATTTTTTAAATCACATAAAATTCAGGATAATTTCATTATCATAAATTGAATGTGATTTATGGGCAACGTTTTCGCTTACGGATCGACTCTTACGAATGTGTGCGTGTGCAGTAATATCAGTTAAAGTAATGCATTACCACGCATTTTGAATTTAAAAGATAAAAGGAGCAGAATGTTTGACATTTATTTTAATTAATTTTTCTTCACCATTTGCCTATATTAATTATTCTGAACCTTCTCTGCAAACTTGGCCGGTTATTACAAAATAACCCTGTATATACAGGGTTATTTACACACAGAGTACACTTTTATAATATATAATTTTTTCTTTTACGTCTAACCATAGAACAACACGGGCCACCGGCGGACCGGAGGGGTGTAGCCACTAGGCATACACAGCCGTTCCCCTCCCTCTGTCAAGCTAATCGTATAAGTCCACGCGGTCCTATATGTGTACAATAATTTGGTTGCAGCCGCACTGCTCACTAGATTAAATTTATAGTACCGTAGCTGAATCAACGTCCTATAAAAATGCCGAATTGTCCTGTTTTTTGCTGCAGAAGGAGACCAAACCACGTCAAATTTACAAAAAGGTGACGTATGTTTGAAAACCTATGTAATTTTAAATCTCATTATTGCTATTTACTTCTTTTTAAACTTAAAAATTGTAATAATAACGGCGTGTTCATTCATATTTGTTTCCCAACATAAGTTGCTCGCCGTCATAATATGCTGATCTGAGCCTGAATGATGATGTCTGTTACTGAGAGATATTGTTATAATGTATATATTTGTGTGTGAAATTGTTAGTTTATTGTTTTAATTGGTACGTGTGAGTTTCATAGGGGCAGACGATTGTTTTTGTGTGCGCAGATTTCCGACCGCAAAAAATAACAGACAGTTCTGTATCGAGAAAAAACGCTATGGCTACTCTCTTCCGGTCTACCGGTCGCGTCGTTTTGGTCTATGCGTCTAAATTTGCCCTTTTTGTAGTTTAAATATATCCGCCTGCGGAATAAAACCTGGTCCGCTACAAAAGTCACCAGCTGGTGTTTGGTCTGCATTAAATGCCGAAAATCCTCCAACCTGTGGCAATCTCTTAGCAAGAGCCATTGGCTTAGTGAAAACACCTTTGAGGTGTCTGGATATAAGCGTCAATAATATTGGATCGGTATGTTAAACTTTTTATACATAATTCTTCTGTACGTGTGTTTGTCACTGAACTCCTGAACGGATGAACCGATTTTAGTGAATTTTTTGTGTGCGTTTGAGTCCCTGGATGGTTCAGATTCACACTGGGACTCGGTAGGTAGGGCTGCTGTTGTCGATATACAGAAAGGCAGGGGCGGATCGCTAGTGAAACTAAAAGTGAGATTCGATGTATACCCCAAAAATTAAAAAAAAAAGTGTATTAATCGGCTTGGTGGTGCAGTGTTAAGCTTTTTATTCGTTTTGACTGGGGGTTAGTATCCCTCACGAAACAAATGTTTTAATTGCAGAAGTTTAATTGCCTAAAAATATTTGTTTGATGTCTGACGTTTGTCAATGTGAAACTTATAGTACCTACCCGGTTGACCGAGCTTTGCTCGGTATTTTTCGCTTGGTTTTTTTTAATTCATGTGTTTTGGTAATTATATTTAGATACAAATCACATACTGATGAAATACGAATAATATTTTTTGATCTTAGCGACATAATAGAAAAAACTGAACTGGTTATTTGAATAAAAAATCAAATTTAAATTTTCGTGTTTTTAAAAAATACTAAAAAAGGGCTCGAAAAAATAGATTTTCTCAAAAAAAGAAAGTAACTTGAAAAAAAAATTAAAAAAGTCGGTCGGTTGGTCTGGGCTTGAACCATGGGTATTACGAGTTTGTGACCACCCAATATACCAATCAAGCTATTTGTAATTATTAATAAACTGTCAAAATTTACCTTCTTATTCTAACGATATTGTAGCAGTTTTTCATTGATTAAAAACACGGACAAAAAGACATTTTCTAAAAATAAATCCTAGCTAGATCGATTTATTGCGCCCGAAACTCCCTGCACACAAAATTTTATGAAAATCGTTGGAGCCGTTTCCGAGATTCCGATTACATATATATATATATATATATATATATATATATATATATATATATATATATATATATATATATACAAGAATTGCTCGTTTAAAGGTATAGGATAGGATATCTAAAACGCTTTCGCGTCACAGAAGAAAATCAAGGTCTTATTAAATAAAAAATACATAAATAAAATATGGACACATGAACTAGTTTTTTATGTACTTACGACTGTTTGTTTGTCTATCTGGTTATAGCGTATCCCGCTATGGTTCGATGCGAAAGCTCCAAAAACGATTATTTTTAATGACATTTTCATTGTTCGTAAGTAATAACTACAGATAAAACCTTTTTCATCAGTCCGTTAACTTTTGTAAGGAAGATTTGCACCTGGCAGGTAGATTTACGATCGAAGTACCAAGTGCATCTTGCACGACATGCTTAAACGAGATTGTTATACCTACAGCCATATTTCGTATGTCATGAGTTCTCTCTGGCATATCCTTTGACTATATACACACATACATATTTCCTACAGTCATGTTTTATGACGCCCATGGTAAGAAATGGGACGACGAATGAATTTTCTTACGCACCCACCATACTAAAATCAATTAAAACCAGGATTATCCATTTAGGATAATCCTGGAAAACTTTGGGAATGACCAAAAAGGCGTTTGTTAGTCAACATATCAAATCTATTCTTACGTGGTTTTCTCTTTAATAGAAAAATATGAAACAATTCAAAAATTACGATACTTACTTTTAATACCCGTCGCCACGGACCTAAAAAGCGCGCAAATGCTTAGTACCCTTCCTAAAATACTTTTTAGTAAGTATGTTAAAGCCTATAATAATATATGCTGGTGTTACATAGTTTATGTTATAGTTCTATTATACGTAGGACACTCAATAAGTCTTGAGATATACAAAAAGTATATAGATACTATTAATATTTATTTTATATGTTTTCAAAATATTCTCCATCATGCTCTATACAAAGTTCCGTTCGCCTAAACCGACTCAGAAAACACTTTTGCACGTCTTGATCTTACAGTTCGGAAATCGATTTTTCTTAGGCAGTAACGGCTTCTTCGGCGCTTAAAAAAACTTTCCTTTTATTTTTTCTTTGACTCTTGGAAACAAAAAGAAATCACAAGGAGCTAAGTCAGGGCTGTAGGGTGGGTGACTAAGAGTTTCAATACCAGATTCCTCAATAAATGCTTTTGTTCTAAGGGAGGTATGTGAAGAGGCGTTATCCTGATGAAGCATGATTCCCCAAAGCCCCGTCTTTGGTCTTCTCTCCCGCACATCTTTCTACATCAACAAGCTTTCTATATCTTTGGGTAATGCAACTGTAGTATACCATTCAGAGTTGACTGACCTACAATTTGCATTGACGTCGACAAATGTCCATTCCACGAAAAAAAACTAGCCACCATTTTGCCGACTTTTCGAGGTCTTTGCAGTTTTGTCGGTAACTGGCCTTCTAAGTAGATCCATATCGATGATTGCCTTTTATTTTCCGGATCATATTGATAGATCCATGTCTCGTCACTAGTAACGATTTCTGAAACAGGCCTAGATGCCTCGTTTTCAAAAAAGTAAAGTAAAGTAACAGCCTATATACGTCCCACAGCTGGGCACAGGCCTGCCCTCATTTCTGAGAGGGTTTTAGGGCAAGGAAATATCCGCCGCGCTGCCCCAATGCGTGTTGGCGAACTTCACATGTCTTCGAAATATTTTTTTTCTTATTTCTCAGACATGCAGATTTCCTCACGATGTTTTCCTTCACCGCCGAGCACGTGGTAAATCAACACTTAAAATTGCAATTAACAATTTCATTGGTGCCGGCGGGGATCAAACCCGGGTTACTCGTGTTCTGTTATATTTAAAGCGAGCGTTAACCATCTGAGCTACCACGGCTCCGTTTTCAAAACGTAGGCACATTTCATTGCACCAATCTACACGAGTCTGTTTTTCGCTTTCGGAGAGCAAACGAGGGATCCATCGACAACAAAGCTTGCTCACTCCAAGATGTTGATGTAGGATGGTATGAATGCTCCCCGAACTAATGCCTATAATCTTTTCGATGTCCGTATATGTAATTCGTGGGTCTTCTCGCACCAACGTTTCAGTAGTCCATACATTTTCTATCGTTACTGCTGTTTGAGGGACCCCGGTTCTTTGGTCATCTTTAAGGTTAATTTTACCCCTTTTGAATTCAGCAAACCACCTAAAAATTGTTGCGTGGAGCTGAATCCCTTAATGCTGATTATAACCGTTGTAAACTTAATTATTCGGTTAAACCAAATTTAAAATCATAATAGATCATAGCGCGCAAATGTTCACGGTCCATCGTTTTCAATGAAAAGCGAGGGAAGGGTTGCAGGAAAATTAGTAGAACTTTGTATTTTTTTTAATATTGAGCAATTGGCTTATGGAGTTCTATTTTAAAATAAATTTGCTTTTTAGAAACATATAACGGCGTTCCATTTTTAAATTTCGAGCATCTCAAAACTTATTGAGTGACCTACGTAATAAATGGACTAAGATATCTATACATTTAAATAAAATTAGTGACTGACTTTAACATTACATGCTATTATGACATAAATAACTAACTAGTTTATTAATTAGTATCAATAATTCAAATCACTTATTAAACGGTACATTGTCGATTTCAGCCTAGTGATGTTACGTTGTCTAACGCAATTTGCCTGAGTTATTTGATAGATATAAATTTAAAAAGATCGGGGATGAGCTCGATGGCCATGGCAATAGCGGAAGCTGCGGCCGCCGCTCAGAGACTCAGAAGAGAAGCAGAGAAAGGAATAAGATTTAGAAGAAGCGCTGGAAGGGTTGTGCAAGCAAGACGAGTTGCAAAGGGCATGAATATAGGTAAGTATAGAAAAAGATTAACAGTACTCAATAATTGCTAGAAATATTGCTCGTTACCTAAAAATGTATAATTTAATTAACATGTACCTTAAACGTGTACTTTCGTGTTGTGCTTATTAGCAGACATCAAAGAAGATGAAGATTTTAATATAACAATTTAGACGACATTGAGATTGTGTATTCCTTAGTTAACTGACTACAACGGATTTTATAGCGTTTAATTACAACTTTTTTTAATTACCCACGTTTCGGACACTTTACGTCACCCATGAACATTTCGTGTGTGTGTTCTACGTTCTCGGTAACGAAGGCTTCCTTCAACTTTTAATTATTTATTGATTTTTGTTCCAATTTGCGCAGAACGAGCTTAGGCTGTAATGATGATGATATAAAAAATTTAAACGTATTGGTTTTAATTGTACAATATTTAAAATATACTGCGTGATTTTTTACCGTTTGGAAAAAATAGGGTGTAACAAGTAAACGAAATAGAAGCCTATGGCACTGGTATTTTACGATTTTATTTTAATTTAAAATTAACGCATGAAATTGATCTATCAATAAATACAATTAATTTAAAATAAACTTTCGGTACTTACTAACAAATAACTACAAAATTAAACTAAATAAATAAATCAAAAGAAATGTATCGAAATTAAAATATTACGTACCCATTTAGTATCTACTATTTATTGATAGATCAATTTCATAGCGTTGCGCGCCATAATTAATGCCCGGTATACGGCGAGGGATTATTAGCGCCATCTAGTATCAAGTAGCAGAAACAAGAGCGTCCAGATCTTTCTATAACTTTCCCACTAGCACCATCTAGTGTCTAGTGGCGAGGGCTTTCTGGAGGATTCTTTGCTAGAACTTTCGACATTCTACACAAACATTCTAGATGTTTTCGGTGGAAAAGGTCCTATATAAAACCGGTAAAGAGCGCGACCGGGGTAGTATTGAATTGTCACGAACCCTAAGGTCGTAACAATAGTATGTTAATGTAAAATAAAATAAAAAAATCGTAAAATATCAGTGCCATAGGCTTTTATTCCGTTCACCTGTTATACCCCATTTTTTTCCAGACGTTAAAAAAATCACCCAGTATATTAAGAGTACCTAGTATTTAATTTTTATTTTTAGATGCAGATCCGATTCTTCTGGCTCAGCAATTATCTGCTCGACCCTCAATTGTGTCCGTCACGTCAGAAGAAGGAACTTATAATATTCAAGCCCAGCCTTTACCAACTGATTTTGGATTTGTGCCAGCATTAAAGGTAGCTTTTGTTGTGGCCTTTATAATTATATCACAATTGTTAAAAAGGTGTAATGTGGAAAACATAATGTTCAGTGTAGCAGAAGAAAATGCAAGTTTTAAAATCCTTTCCTTTGAAGATATAATGTTATCCTTATATATTTTGCTCGGTTATTAATGGATTACTTTAGATTTTTTAACAAATTCAATTCTAAGGTACAATTCAATCGAAAAATATCTCATTATTGCATACTTTTCTGTAAAATTGACTGTTTTTGCACATCAAATGGAATAATTCGACTTCTTACATAAGAAACAATTACAAAAATAACTTAGGTATATTATATTTTTGAAATTTATAATTTTATACCCAACTTTGGTTTCCATAGAATGCAATCGATATAGTAGTATGGTAACCGCCTACTAAAACATTAATTGCATCATATATTAATTTGTGGTCGCATTGTACATGAATTAAGGATAATTAAATAAAATAAGGCAAAATTTTGGTATTTTTAAAAATGCTCACATACAATATACAATACCGTATAGTGGCGGTGTAAAAATACCCACTACCCCATGTCGCCCCCCGTGGGTAATGTAAGAGGCGACAGAGGGCAAACTCAAACAGGAGATGGGCCGCATCACCTTCCTGATAACAACTCAAAATTATAAAAAAACTTCGGTTGCAACTCACCTGCCAAGGTGGCAACAATGGTAAAATCCCCCCTAATAGGATATCTTTAGGTGAGGTCTATATTTAGCAGTGGACATTCATAGGCCTTGTGGATATATTTTTTGGTTTGTCCTCATGTGATATTATAATTTTTTTTAATAAAAATGAATTAAATTTTTCCAATTTGTTATTATACGTGGTGAGCCATGCTGCAGCGATATCAAGGTTGTAGCAGGAATGATTTTACAACAAAAAAATTTAAAGATAATAAGCAGAACTTATCTATCAAAAAGTTTAAAATTTTAATGAAACAAAAATAGCTCAAAATGGGTTATTACACTACTAAAGAGTACATGATTGATAATAACCCCTGGAAAAATGAAAAAATGAAAATTTAGAAACAACATGGTTGCGATCATCAGGGGGATCGCAACCATGCTGTTACTAAATGATTTCATATTTAATTGCATAACGTAATATTATAATGTAAAGTGTTGTATAAAAAAAATAAGTGTGGCACTCGGTGACTGCCGCGGTAAAGCATTCTTTATCAACTTATGTAATTATAATTATTTATTTATTTTATTTATGCAGTTAAGTCTTTGATATTACATAAATCAAGTTACACTTTTTGAGCGTGGTGACCGATAAGAAAACAATTTTTTTTTTCTCTTATTAAATAAACGAGAAGTTAATATTGTTTAAAATATTTTTAATATCTTACAATACATGTAAGTTATTCAGGAATTTTTATCATTGAGTTAGCAGCTAGTGTGCATGCATACATCTAGTCGCACGCACACAAACACCGTGCCGAAGTCTGCCGAACTGAAACGACGTTAGACGATGCACGGCTTTCAACGCCACACCTCCGTGCCCGTCGGAGTGGGGGAGCGTGAGGTTTTCTTTCGTTACGGAATTTCTGGATTCGGTCCCCGCGCTCAAGGCCCGCGATAGAAGCTATGCAATAGCTTAATAATCCTCCCGCTGGGTTTTTACTGGTTCTTCTCAAGATAGGAAAAGCATATAAATAACATTCAGTAAATATTTTTGTAATCTATAGTGAATAGAAATTATTTTATTCTATGGGTCGGCTCGGGCATCGGGCATCGGGGAAGGGTCGAATTCGGATTACACTCTCACAGAATACCATCTTAATGCTGCTGCTTTATACTTGTATATAGTGACGAGTGTAGAGAATCGGAGACCCTTTTTACTGGAAACGAGGCATTCCATATCAGTCCTCGGGGCTGGCAACGCGTCTGCAATTTGATTTTTAATTGAAAATAAATGTATATATCTATGGGCCACAGCATCCACTCACCATGAGGTGGACTGTGTGCTCGTTTCTCACCCTCATTCTATAAAAAATATGTAGATATATATAGTCCATAGCATACACTTACCATCAGGTAGACTGTGTGCTCGTTTATCACCCTTGGTTGCACCAAAACTCATATTTGTAGACTATATTATCTGGTAGTATTTCCTCCCCATCACTTCCACCTCCTTCCTGCACGGGCATGTCCAATAGAAGGCCAGATGTGGTGACGTCATTTTGGGCGACCAATAAGCCACCGGCCGTCGAGTATCGTCGACGTACCGCCGCCGCGCCGAGTAGTTGAAGACCAACGCTAGATGTGATTACACCTCTGTGGCAGTTGCGTCACAAAACTACCTAATAAATAAACCTAATGGTGACCGCTTTGCATAGAGCAATTTATCGTCACGCACCACCGCAGCTGCAACGTAGCGCTATCAACTTCAGGGCTGAATAAAAGACCGCCGGAAGATCACCGCCCAAGTAAGTGCATCTCCTTTCTTCCTAACGTGAGCTGTTCTCATTCGTTGTCACCCCTTCCCCATCAGCTCACGCTCCAACCCTTGCCGGCTAGATATAGTAAATTAGGTTCTAGCAAGTGCATTGCCCAAAACCCGGCCACGTGCCACTTCCGACATCTTGTATTGATTATAGAGAACCAGGCATACAGTCCACATATAGTAAAATCTCGCATAATAGATCTTGGCCCGACCCGGGAATCGAACCAGGGACCTTAGCCTGACCTAAGTTAAATGGAAGACATTTCCAGGTTCCTTCGATTTGGATACGAAGGGCAACATAGTCACCCTAACCGTTTAGTTACCATCCGTTCCGGATTCGAACCCAGGAACCATTAGCGTCACCATTTTCTAGTTACCCGGATTAGAATCGGGACAACCACCGCACCATTTTCTGGTTCATTCGGGCCGGATTTAAAATTAGTACTCTAACGCACCACCAACCCTTATTCTATAAAAAAAAAACTATACATATTATTGGGGTTTTATAAAAAACTGTCACTAATTTATTGAACAAAATTCTTCTGTTATTCTCTTCCTGCAGAGTCCTTTACCATCTTCTCGCACTTCGTCAATTACCGGTGCATCAACCTCAAGAAGGTCAAGTCATCATGTAATCTTGGAGCCAGTCAAAGTGAGTAAAGTAAATTTGAGTAAAGTAGTTTTAGATCAAGAGGACTCCACCGCGCTATTGTCGAATGTAAGTAGTAAATCAGAATTTAATATTGCCATTAACAATTTTGAATTTTGGTGCAGCCGGGTGGAATCCAACTTGGGTTTGATCGTGTAATATGAAAAAATGATAACGCAACCGGTCAGACCCTAAGCGACTAAGGCTCGGTTAAAGTGAGTTTTGATATACATATTGATAGAGGATATATTTTTTAATCTATTTAATACGACAAAATATATATTATATTTCTATACCTATAGGTAAATACGAGTAGACATCATTGACGCGTAAATGTTTATTTAAAAGTTTTGTATATCATCCATACCCATGCCTGAACGTAAAGCAATGGCGACAACATATTTAGATGTTGTTGTTGAAAACCATCGCCCACGCAAATCATTCACTGGCGAAATTGCTAATGCGATCCATGCGTAAACATTAGCACCACAGAGTACTTTTTTATATATAATTAGCACATGATGGCTTAATTATAAATTGCCTATGGAAGCCGATCGTAACCTTGTTATAGACCACAAACTAATAAGAGGTTGTAGACTAAGAAAGTCCATAAAACAGAGCAAAAGTTTTGATTTCTTATATTAACGCGAACTCTACTTGAATAAAACTATTTTGAAGGCGGCAGGATACTACCATCTTTTTGGGATCCTGTAATTAATAAAATTAAAACTAAACCCAAGCATACGACTGCCCTACATATATATTATCTATTCCTACCACTGTAAAATTGCAAGACAATAAAATCATTCTGCGTAGATCAGATTATAAGTGATAATTAAAAAGCTGAAGGCACACCGGGTTAACTTTGATATCAGGACGCCAAACAGATCCGTCCCCTGTTAAAAATAAGTAAAATTGAACGCGATACAATAGTTTTATTCAAGAGCAATAATTTTGTTTGCGTTAAACAATGGTTGAATTTTGTAACGTAGCCCACGTTACATATGAAATTCTAAGTACCGACAATTTGTAAACAATGACTGATCTATATTATTAGGTCGTGTCGTGTCTAACAGATCAGTTCAAACTAAATATGTTGATATTTTTTAAAATATCGAATTTTCGATATATCGATAATTATAAATATATCAATATCGGAGTTTTATATATAAGTTTATTTATCGATATATCCAAAACCCAATATTTTAAAAAATATCAACAGTTTTAGTTTGAACTGATCAGTTGGAATGATCAGTTTAACTGGCCGTGTGTGGCATCCATAAAATGTAGAGTAATAATGTTCTGTGAAATATAATATACTTATACCCAAAAGTTTATAGGGAGTTCTATATTTCAAGTAAAATTATTTGTTTCTCTGACTTTGTTAATTTAGACTTCAATAGATTAGAAACATTCAATATGATCAAAAGCTGTATTCTATGAATGAATATCAACAAAAATAATTTATAGCTTATGCCTTATTATTTTAAAATATCTTATATTGCAGGAAGTACGTCGCACTGCTTTAGTTCGACGTCGATCAGATGGCTCGTTGTTGCAACATCGTGACGTAAACTCCCAACGTCATATTAAAATATATATATCAAATGAAGACGAATAAAGTTTTTATTTTTATATTAATTTCCTTGTTTATATAGCAAACTATACATAATTTTACAGCAGTAATAAACTATAATTATCATTTTCTTATAACTCTAGTCGTCATTATTTTTTTTTCTGATTATAAATAGTCCTGGATCCTGAATAGTATAAATCGAGAAGGTGGTACGGTGTCACATACTCGGTCATATGAAGTTAACTTAGTATCACTTATTTTCCGTTCATTGTAACTTGACGCGTAATCTGATTGGCACCACTGTAATTTACAGAGCTGCATGTTTCAATACGAATAGCGATCCCGAAATGTAGAGACAAGAATTATGAAAGGGATATAAAAGCATGTATACATGCATCTCAAGCATGAGGTTGTGGGTTCAAAAGTGTTATGTCAAATCATTTTACTAATTGGAGTACGATTAACTCGAATTAACTCAAGTCGGGTAATCACTAACTTGTGTTCGGGCTGACGGTATAATTGAATAAAATATGCGAGGAAGGGAGAGCACGATTCGTTCATCGTGCATATGTATTAAATAATTGGTGATATATAAATTATCACTAACATTTGTCATAAAGTGTTGTTATTAAAAATATCTTAGAACATTCAACCAAAGGACGAGTAATGCGCCTAATGTGGCCTAATGTTACGAACAATAAAATCTGTCACTTTAGTGTGGGGCGAGACTACATAGACACGGACGGGGGGAAACACTACATAGACAGTACTGCACACCTACTCAATAAAATTTTGTGTCGTTAGAGCACAAACAAATCTAAATCTCCAACATTGTTACATTTTACGCACACGTGTAGGTTAAATACGTTAAGATAGAAAAAGTTAGGATATAGAGTGTAAGACAGACAAACTAACTGCGATGCTACCATATCGATATAAAATATCGATAATTTCCCTATGTGAAAAAAAAACAAGCATAAGCAAAACGCACTCCAACAATTAAAATCACCTGAACTCTTTAGTTTGTTCAGCACAACAAGTATTCTCAAGATTCCGTAGAAAACAACAAGGAACGCTTATTATAGTTTCACCAATTCCGTCCATCTGTCCGTCAGTCCACGGCTTGGTTTAGACACTATTGGTACTCTATAGAGCTGTAATTTTTAGAGATGGGCCAAAAATGGATTTCACCGAATACGAATATTCGGCCTAAAGTTCGGTAAAACTTTTACCGAACCGAATATTCAGCCGAAAATTAATCAGCAGGATCACCTCTGTAGGTACCTATCCAATATTATGTCGAAACTTGTTATCGTAAAGCACGCGGCATTATCGCCAGACTCTGCTCCTCGCTCATCATCTAGTAATCAAATTCCCGGCACATGCTTATGTTTTGACTATTTCTGTGAGAAAAAAATGTATGTAGTTGTGTTATTCTTAGTGAAAATTGATAATTATATGATAAAAATGAGTGGCAGGAGATCTACTATTTGGACTTATTTTAGAGAAACAAGTCCAAAGTAAAGTGAAATGTAATAATGTAATGTAAGGTTTCTTTGTTTGATTCCAAAAACATTTTATCAAGCTTTCTGTTTGCTACAATTGGAAATAAATCTAAAGTGCCTCAAAAAAAAATAACGCTATACAAGTAGATTTAACCCATAAATAAAATATACTTGCAACAGTTAAATTATGAAAGACATGGCATTACTCAATTTGAACATTTTAATACAGTAGACACTTTGAGTATCACTTTAACGAATGTTTGGTGATTTAGCCGAATATTCGGCCGAATACGAATATTCGGTAAAGCTGCCGAATATATCGAATACCGAATATGAAACGAATAATACGCCGATCTCTAGTAATTTTGCATGGTTATACATGAATACCAAATTTAAAAATGGCTCTAAGTACCAAATAAAAATAATTGGAAGTGAGTTGCCGTAAAAAACAATATCAAAGTAGACAATTGTTTTTGGGACCACTGGGATGATTCTTTTTTATTAAGTGGGTTATTCTTCAAGAGTAGTCCCATATAAATTTGGAGAATATTTAGATCCCAAAGGGTGGAAAAATAGGAAATCAAATATTTAATGTATTTGAGACGTACACGTACGACATTGAGACTGTCATATTACTCTATCTACACAAAAGGATAAACAATAATATAATCATAAATAAAACTTCTTTTCCAACTATAATATTTCTTTTCTTAATTTTTATAACTTCTTTTCCCCTCCATTCAACTCTGTCGTATATAGGAAAAAAATAAAATTCTTTGCAGGCAACATATATTATTACCATTAATAATATTTACCTGCCAGTAGGCGTATATATGATCGGTGTTGCAGAAACATCGATGCATTTGCGATTGATTGCGATTGCGCCCTCCTTTCTGCCAAGGTGGGTCTCGTCCGTGTACGGCTTAAAGATCTCTCGTCAGATCGGTAAGCCAATCCATAAAGGTGGGGTTTAGTGGGTAAAAGTCTCCACATAACCACGCAGCCGGCTGCGTGGTATGCTATGAGCATTCCCCAGCTCCCTCCCCCGCTTTCCGGAGGGTTGCCCATATTTGCTTCGGGCGCAAAAAAAACAAAGTTGGTATCGATAGCTTCACATCGATGTTCGATGTTTATCCTACTCAAAACATCGGGGTTGGCCATTATCGAGGTTATTAGCACATGTACCTATTTAATAGGTTAAAATTAGATGAATAAAAATTAGTGGCTTTGTTTATGGTTTATTATTAATGAAATAAAAGAAATCAATAAAAATATGTCTAACAGTAAACAAAAAATGGAAAAAAAAATAACAAATATCTAGTTAATTTTTTATATTTTTGCCGATGATGATCTCTAAATGTTTTTACACACTCATAAATCCAGTATGAAAAAAATTACTATGGGACCTAATTTACGATTTACACGTAGGTTTTACATCAAAAATATGAATATAGAGGAAAAATTAACGAACTTCACAAAACAGTAATAGACTTTTCCGTCAAGTTTTTTTACAATTCTTAATCCAGCAGAACAAGCAGTAAGTATCCACAGCCGTTTATAAAATGTACAGTCGAATGTACTATGTAGTGAAATTGACTATGCTTACAATCGCCCAGTGATTTATTTTCATAAACTTTAAGCAAACACTAAACTCATTATTCCAAGATAAAAAAATCAGCTAAATATAATTGAATGGTGTAGATACACATTGTTTCAAAATTATGTGGGTATAGACAGCAAGGGAAAAAATAATTTGAATTGTTCACAAGTTCTTATTAATCGATCATTGGTTCATTGACGATCATCGAACATCCCTAGTGTATATATCCATCAGTCCATCATTCCTCTATTCCTCTCTATTCCTTTCTTTGGAATTGGCCATTAGGGTTCCGCCAACTTTTAAAAGTGTCGATACCTACTCGATACCAATAAAAGTATCAATTCAAAAGTATCGACACTACTTGGTATCGGTATATAAATATTACTACTAATAAAATATTAGAAATCACTAGAGAATACACAATAATGATTCAATTTTATATTCATTCAAAATTAGGTTATAAAATATAGGAACTAACAACTAATGACTGAACCCCCAAACTTGTACATCGCAATGTGACATGAAAGTAGTTTAACGAATAATTACTGTTTTTAGAAAGTACATGAAAAAAATGTATTAGGATCAAGTTCGTTCATTATGATCGTTTTCTTCTATAAATTACTTGAAAATTTTTAATAGAATAGAACATTATAAGATTAACCAGATAAATGTAATACGTTCTCATAGATTCTTTTAAGTTGCGTTATTTTCCACATATTACCATGAACTAAAACGAATAACTTTATCCGCAATTGCGGCTTTAAACTCTACTCGAATGAAAAATCTTTATAAGTTCATCAACTCCATACAATCTAATTGTCTTCTGATTCGAATTATAAATTATTTAAATGATAAATTCCCATGAAAACCATTAGGAACTCATTAGTTAATCTCTTTACTAAAACAATTAGTCGGAACTGCCGATACTTTACTTTGCTTTTTCTTCCATTTTCCTGATCATAATCCTCGGTAGAACCTCATTCCCTTTATCGGTAAATTCTATTATCGCAATTCTGGATCATAATTAATTAATAAAATATTATAATTTAAGAGCCGTGGTAAGGTCACAGTAAGCGAGTAACCCGGGTTCGATCACCGCCGGCACCAATGAAATTGTTAATTGCAACTTTAAGTGCTGATTTACCACGTGCTCGGCGGTGAAGGAAAACATCGTGAGGAAACCTGCATGTCTGAGGAATAAGAAAAAAAATATTTCGAAGACATGTGAAGTTCGTCAACACGCATTTGGGCAGCGCGGCGGACACTTCCTTGCCCTAAACCCTCTCAGAAATGAGGGGAGGCCTGAGCCCAGCAGTGGGACGTATATAGGCTGTAACTTTACTTTTTTTTACTTTACTTATATTATAATTAATTAGTAATAATAATTATTATTATATTACTAATTAATTATGATCTAGACTATAACTAGACTCTAACAATCAGATTATTTGTTCATGTACCAGATAAAATCCAATTAATCCATTATTATTATTTTTCAATGTGAAAGTATCCGGAATTGCTGTTTCAAAAACACAATAGTTCTATATGTATATATTTTAGCATAACTTCCAATCAAACATTGTATTTTATTAGAATCAATCAGGCTTTTCACAGGGTATTTATTTTCGTAAGAACACACCCAGTTTGTAATAATCTTATTAGTTTGTTTGTTTACTTCTGTTCTGTTTTTTCAAGTTAGAAGTATTACCGCGATGATTCATAATGTTGCGTGCCATAGTTAATGCCTGGTACATGGCACTAGCGCAATCTAGTATCGAGTAGCAGAACTAATCTTTCTAGAAAATTCCACACTCGAACTTTCTACCTAGTCGGTCGGAACCGGTATGTGCTGCAGTGGCGTAGCGTGCATTAGACGGGCCCTGTATCAAAATTTGTTGGGGGGCCCAAATGAAAGGCCCAAAACCGCTCGCCTTGAATTAAAATAACTATTTATTTGTTGTGAGTTAATAATAACTATTAACACTCCTAGGAACTAAGCTAGCCGAAAAATTCAAATCAAATACACTTATCTTTTTCGACGAACATAATAGGACGGGGAAAAAGTTTATTCGTATTTTATATACACATTTTATTTTCAAAGTTTTATCATATTAATTACATAATATATATGTGCACTTTTGTTTGATAACTGGTTGCCATCTTGTAGGTATATGACATAATCCTGTTGCTGTAGAAATTGTAGGAAATTTTTGATAAAAAAATGCGACAAGTAATTTTGACAGTCCTCTCTTGATGTTAACCTAACACTACCCCAAGAATTCTGAAGGGACCGAAACAGGTGAAAATCTAAGAGTGCAACGGCAGGACTATATGGTGGATGCATTAACACTCCCAACCAAACTCTCTCAATTTTTGCTGAGTGGCTAAATATCTATGTAGCCTGGCGTTATCACGATGGAAGACCACTTTTTTTTTGTTAATCAATTCCGGCCGTTTTTTTCTCAATTTCTTGCCTGTGTTTTACTAGTTGTCGGCAATAAAGATCCGAATCGATATTATTGCCCAGCTGTAAAAGCTCATAGTAAGCGATGTCCTTCTAATTCCACCATACACATAGCATCACCTTATTGCGTGTTAATCCGGGTTGCGCTACAGCTTGTGAACTTGACTAGCCTTTGACCATGATCTTTTTCGCATGATCTTGACGTAGGTGATCCACTCTTATCACCAGTAATTAATCTTTGCAAAAATGGTTCAGTTTTATTACGTTTCAATAGACAATCGCAAATGAGTACACGATTTCTTAGGTTTCTTTCAGTGAGCTCGTGTGTTACCTAAAGTTCGAGCGTTTTTGTGTGTAGCCAGACTTTTTCAAATGGCTCAAAGCTGTGTTGTGGTCAATCTGCAATTCTTCGGCAATGTTGAAAATTCTAATATGCCGATCTTGCTCCACTTTTTTCTAAAATGGCATCGACTGTAATCGTATAAAGGTGACCAGAGCGAGCTGCATCTTTGATATCAAAGTTCCCGGACTGAAAACGTTTGAACCAACTTTGTGCTACTCTTAATGACACTGCATTAGGTGCACAAATGTCACAAAATTTTTGGCAGCTTGAGTTGCATTTTTCCCTTTTTTGTATCTGATAAAACTCCAGAATTTATCGAATTTCTTCGTTAGATTCACTCGAATGAGAAGTACTGGAGATGTGGCTGAACGGCACACGGATATCGTGTTACTACGCAGAGACATGATCAATTTTACCAAATTACCGCCGGAAGACAATCCAATATCACAGCGATGCAACTACTACAAAGGCTCCAGGATGACCACCACCATGTTTTTTTATTTGAAAATATAATAAAAGAGGTTTCAATCTATATCTATAACTTTTTATGGAAACTAAAAAGATTTTAAACTATAAAGTCATAAATAATACAGGTTTTTGGCAAAGTTCTTTAGGAAGCTGTTGCTGCCAACTAAAGAAAAAAGCGCATTAAGCGCTAGCGTACTAGGGATATTGCACTCTCGAGCTCGGACGCTGCGGCTGATGTTATGGGATTATTTAATTATTTATTTACGACGTAAATCAATAACTTATGGATAAAGTGATATCGGGTGCTGATTGCGCATGTGAAAATCTACAATTTTACATTGTTTGATTATTCTTTTACCGCCATTTTTAAATAAAAAATAAAAATTTATTATTTCACAGCACCCACCTTACTTTTTTAAACATCTAAACAAATATTTGACGCGCAAACAAATAATTAGTACCGATTAACATCATTTTTTACGCGCAATCGATTTATACTAGTCGCATTTTTAATAATTATTTCCGGGTGCCAACTTCATGGACCTGTCTCTACGTATTGGTTAGTTTGGTTGCACAGAGATGGCACTGTGGCACAGAGTCAGTCAGTCATAGTAAATATTTAAAAAATTGTTCTGTGGTCAGAGTATTTATTTTTCAATAAAATCAGTATCAGTAAGTCAACAAATCAGTAAACTAACCAAAAGATCTCGAGAAAAGGTATATATTTACTAACTATTATAAAATTATTTCGAAATTGATAAGTAGGCATTTCTAAAATGATTTTACTATTGTATAACTAGTTAAATCATTACTACGAGACATTTTTGGGCATTTCATAGAATGAATAAGTTTAAACTACATGTCTTTACTAATTCCTTGGGCTATTAACGTAGTGTTCTATCCTCTTTGGGGCTATTCACATTCCTAACCTCTGAATACCTAAATAGGTAGTTCGAGTTATTAATTTTTATTTGCTTTTTTTCTCTTCATTTTGGCATCACGCTACTTGCGTATTTGTCACAGAGATATTTTATAATTTTAACGTAGCGAAAAGCGGAGAAACTTTTTGTATTATTTTTTTGCTTTAAATGTTTTTTGATAATCAGTGTTGCAACAGTATAACTATTTTCCCTATTGTCGGGTATTTCTGGAAGCCTAAACGCAATATTTTGTGCATATCAAGACTAACGATATTTTAAATTATATCCATTTTTAGGAGATATCCAGTGCCATAGATGACGGAAATTCACCAAGTACTTCCAGTTCTGTTCAAGATTTATTGTAAAGTGAAGTTATTGTTAAGCCAATAACAAGAAAAGAGTCGTTGCATGTCTTTCATATTTATCGAAAGCCAACTCATACCGATTTTCATAAAATTTAGTGTCCAGGGAGTTTCGGGGGCAATAAATCGATCTAGCTAGGATTTATTTTTAGAAAATGTTTTTTTGTCCGTGTTTTCAGGCAATGAAAAACTGCTGCAATATAAGAAGTTAAATTTTGACATTGTGTTAATGATCGTAATAGCTCAAGTGGATAGCGAGCGGTCGCAAAATCGTAATGTCTTGGTTTCGCGTCCCGTCCTACGTCCGGTTTTGTTTCCTTTTTTTTTCAAGTTCCCTTCTTTTGTGAGAAAATCTATTATTTCGAGCCCTTTTTTTAGTATTTTTTAAAAATACGAAAATTTTAATTAAACTAATTGCACTCATGATTTTTTATTTAAATAACCAGTTCAGTTTCTATTACGTCAATAAGATCCAAAAATATTATTCATCAGCATGTAATTTGTATCTAAATGTAATTTCAAAAAAAAAACCGAGCAAAGCTCGGTCATCCGGGTACTAATAATAAATATTACTATAATAATATCAATATAAAAAACAATAATAATATTTGTAATGTACTGTAGATCCCAGGGATCAATATTTTGAAAAAACAAGTAACACTATTGTAAGTAGTATATATTACAAGTAACACTATTATTATACACTGATATCGGCTCGTAGTAAGCGTCCACGTCTTCTCCCTGCGGCGGTCGGTCGGGCAGTGCGAGAGACGACAGAGTTATACACCACTATAAATGTCTATACGCTACAATATTTAAAAAATATTAGTCATAACAATTAGTCGCAGGTTTGTTATCGCGCGGCGCGGTCACTCGCTACTTTGGTAGGGAGTGGTTGTGTCGGCGTGTACAAATAGCAGCTGTTTCGGCTCGCCGCTCACTTAGCGGTCAGTCGCCGTAGAGTCTACATTACCTGAAGATGCCTCGTGATGAGGCGAAACACGTGTCGTATTGTCGTCGATGGTGTGTCTTACCTGGAATAGTGGTGTTGGAAGTAGTGGTGCTGGGACTAGTGGTGACGGAGTTAGTGCATGCAATTGAGGGAGGGCGGGAGGTGCTCTTCAATCCAGGTAAGACACATTATTGTAATTGGTTAGCGGAAGGTTGTAAAGTAATAAATTATTTATTATTCAAGGGATGGTTAACGAAACACAATAAAATTAGAGATGGTCTGACGACTGTAATCGCACACAAAAGTGATTTAATACGTCACCTGAATTCAAAAAAAAACATCTTCGAATTTCGAAACAAGTTTTGGGATCAAAAAACATTGACGATTTAGTGCGGGAATCACCTGTAGACGTTAAAATACGTCGTGCAGAATTAAAGCTTTGTATTGCACAAATAACTTACCGTTCTCGTTGATGGACACTGTTATCCCTTTAACTAAAGAGGTTTTCACAGACTCTGAGATAGTAAGCAAATTGGCAGTACGACGAACTAAAGCCTCTCTTTGTATAAAAAATGCTTTAGGTAACAACTTGGCCAATATTGTGTTTGATGCACTGAGAGTTCCTGGCGCTTTCTTCTCCATAATTATGGATGAAACTACAGACTGTAGTACTATTAAACAGCTTGCGTTCACAGTTATTTATTTTAATGTTGAAAGCAACAAAGTTGAGACCCATTTTTTTGATATGATAGAGGCCAAATCCGGAGATGCCATATCTTTAGTGAAGTATTTAACAAATGTGATAGAATCAAAAGAAATACCACTATCGAATCTCATAGGCTTCTGTTCAGATACTACGAACGTAATGATTGGAGAGCACAACTCAGTGTTTTCTCATTTGAAAGCCGCATTACCTAGCATAGCGTGCATCAAATTTCCCTGCCATTTAATACATTTAGCAGCATCTAAAGCATGCTTAAAATTCCCACGATCTGTCGAAGATCTTATGAGAAACTTGGGGTCGCACTTCAGCCGCAGCTCCTTTAGACAAGAAAAATTCGCAGTTTCAAGCTTTTTTTCAATGTGATTTACACAAAATTTTGAACGTAGCTACAACACGCTGGCTGTCTGTGAAAAACTACGTAGATCGTGTGTTACAACAGTATACTCCCCTGAGAGAATATTTAACACTAGCTGTTTTCGAGGATCCCTCTAAAACAACCGAAGCTACAATGGATAATGAGTTCACGGTTATTTATTTAGAATTCATGTCTTATACTTTAGGTTTGCTGACTCAATTCAATTTATTGTTTCAGTCAGAAACACCACTGCTATATAAAATGAAATCTTCAGTCGAAAATCTGTTGAAAACTGTGTGTAGCAATTACATCACATTTTCTTATGTGAAGTCTTGTACTGCTATAATGAAAATTGAGTTTGATGATTAATCCAAATATAACAGATTGGACAGAGTTTATCTAGGTGTATTAGCTACCGAAAGCTTACAAAAGTTAAAAAATAACTCACAGGTTCCTGAAACTGATGTCAAAATGTTTTTAATAACTTGTCGCAGCTTTTATGTGGAGTTGGCTAAACAAATCCTACAGAGGTTTGACTTTAAGGACAGTCTTTTTAATTTTATTGACTTGGTAAATCCTTCTGTTGCTCAAAGTTTCACTTTCAAATCTTTGAAGCCTATCTTTGTAAGATTTCCAGTATTGTACGCTTATTACAACATGCAATATGCAGTTGACGATGAATGGCGAGAATATGCTCTACTTGATCATGAAAGCTACGACTTGCATCCTTCAGATGATGCTGAGGAGTATTGGCTTAAAGTATTCCACTTAAAAAATGCCCTCGGTCAAAGTTTGTTTCCAAATTTCTAAAGGCATTTTAAATGCCTTGTTAGTTTTACCTTTCTCGAATGCATCGATGGAACGTGTATTAAGTTCTCTCAAAAATATTAAAAATGATCATAGAAATAAACTAAAAACAAGCACGTAGTTGCCCTAATGCAAACTAAAGACCAAATAAAAGATTGTGTAAAATTTGAGCCAACAATTAATATGCTCAAAGCGAACCTATACAAAAAGTGATGTATTTGTTTTAGTTTTTGGAATAAAGTTTTCATTTATTCTGTTTTTCCTACATCGTGAACTTCGAGGGGAATTTTGCTATAAAAGGAGGATATTTTCAACATGACGCGGGGATTTCACAAAACTAACTGTGGCAACACTGTAAAATAAGCTGTAATTACCTCGGGAAAACTAGATGATAGGCTATTGAACTTTATCAGCAATAATGCTATGAGTTCTTTAATAGCAGGTCTTCTTTAGGCACGTTGGGCACTATTTAATTTATTGATATGATTTCTTTTTCGAGAAGTACGGCTTAAGAGTTTAAGTGAGATTGTGGATAACATTTTACGAATTTTTGCTTACACACGTTCGGGGCCCCTGTAGCCCGGGGGCCCTTTTTTTTTTGCATGGGGAAATGCCTACGCATACCCGCCTCGCGGGGGCAAGGACGGGTTATGTCGGACTCGCACCGACTAAAACCCCATGGTGTTCCACCTTTGTCGCATATTGGCAGGGCCACGAGAACGCTTTCGCACACATCCGCGGCCCTACTAGCGCCTGCCGCCCCATGGCAGCACCTCCTCGGGAGAGGAAAATTCCTCCCCGTTCTCCTTCCCAGGTAAGGCGCACCAAACACATGGCGCGCCCTCCTCCACGGCCTCAAATTACGTCTGTGCAACAGACGCCCCCGCGTCCGATGCACAAAGGCCATGGGGCCAGGAAAAACGAGCACTTAGAAGTACCAGCCTTCCCGACCCCAGCGGCGGATCTGGTCTATGGCTCCGCCGCCAACCAAGATTCGGCTGCGGAGGGTAGGTAGAGCGGCGCCTCGCAATACCGACAATCCTCTCCCCCCGCAGCCCCACCACCACCGCATCAACGGTGCGGCCCCGTTTGAGTCGCGAAGGATAGGGCGAGTGGCGCATCGCCATACCAACACTCCTCTTCCTCCGCGCCTCCACCTCGGCTGCAGCGGTAGAGGGTGCGCGAGTCCCCACTCGCTGCAGTCCACCAGCACACATCCGAAGTGGGCTCCCCAAGCCCATTCGGAGCGGCCACCTCCGGCCGGCCCTTCCCCTCGGGCCAGCCACGTGGGTTCCTCTTTGTTCACCGTGGGAGACCAAGCCACGGCTACTAAGACCCCCCCCGCCACGACAAGGCGGGAACCCGTTCGGGGGGGGGAGCCCGGGGGCACTGTATCATTGATACTGCTGATACGGCGGTAGCTACGCCCCTGATGTGCTGGAACATTTTAGATGTTTCAGTGGAAGAGGCCCTAAATAAAGCCGTTCAGGGTGGCGACCGGGGCAGTACTGAATGGGCGATACAAATGAATACTTCAAAGCGATATAACTGCGGACTAAAGTGATCAGTGTGATTAATTATTAGTGTGTTTTCAAGTTGTAATTGGTGTTCAGTAATTAAATTGCCGTCTAGTGGCGGTTAAGAATATTTACTACTCCATATCTTCCCGATGGGTAGTCGTAAAAGGTGACAGAGGGAAACAGGCAGGAGATGGGCAGCAGCATCTTCCTGATAACTGCAATTGTAAAACAAAAAAAAACTGCGGTTGCCAACCCGCTCGCCAAGCGTGGCAACTATGGCAATATACCACCCATGAAGAACTGCTAATACGGCGGTAGCTACGCCCCTGATGTGCTGGAACATTTTAGATGTTTCAGTGGAAGAGGCCCTAAATAAAGCCGTTCAGGGTGGCGACCGGGGCAGTACTGAATGGGCGATACAAGTGAATACTTCAAAGCGATATAACTGCGGACTAAAGTGATCAGTGTGATTAATTATTAGTGTGTTTTCAAGTTGTAATTGGTGTTCAGTAATTAAATTGCCGTCTAGTGGCGGTTAAGAATATTTACTACTCCATATCTTCCCGATGGGTAGTCGTAAAAGGTGACAGAGGGAAACAGGCAGGAGATGGGCAGCAGCATCTTCCTGATAACTGCAATTGTAAAACAAAAAAAAACTGCGGTTGCCAACCCGCTCGCCAAGCGTGGCAACTATGGCAATATACCACCCATGAAGAATTACATAAATAGACGGCCCCCAGTCCCCGGCGGCCCCGCTATTCCTGACTACGGTAGGGACCATGGTAACGGCGGGGCAGGAGGTGCTAAGAATCTCCGGTAGAGGTTTGGTTGTCACCTACGACGACTCGACCTGGCAACATTTAACGCATGCACCCTGAGGACTGACGGGAAGATCCTGGAGCTGAAAGAAGAGATAGACAAGTTGCGCTGGAATAATATAGGATTATCCGAGGTCCGAAAAGAGGGGGAGGACACGCAACTTGTTCTATCACCAGGAGGGCGACAATCTGTCCAAAGGAGGTGTTGGATTTATCGTCCACAAGTCTATCGTTAACAACGTTTTAAAGATTGCGAGTGTATCGACGAGGGTTGCGTATGAGGGTGCTTATACTCAGAATCACCAAACGGTATTCGATGAAGGTTATACAGGTTTACGAGCCAACGTCGGAACCTGATGAGAGATTTCTAGAGCCATGCATTCCTCCAAAACTCACTATACGGTGTTAATGGGAGACTTCAACGCAAAGCTGGGCACAAGAAAGAACAGTGTGCTGAAGGTAGGGAAATTTGGGATAGGGCAACGGAACCCAAGGAGCCAGCAGCTGGCCGACTTCATGGAGAAAGAGGGACTTTTTATGATTAACTCTTTCTTCCAGAAGCGGCCCCACAGAAAGTGGACCTGTTCAAGCCCCGACGGTTCGACAAAAAACGAGATTGACTTCATTATGACGACCAGACGCCAACTGTTCTGTGATGTCTCAGTGATCGCAAGGGTGAAAACTGGCAGCGATCACCGAGTGGTTAGAATCACACTAAACCTTAACGTTAAGTTGGAGAGGTCTCGTCTAATGAAGTCAACGCTCCGTCCTCCTCGTGCTCTAATCCAGACTCCGAAAATCTTTCAGCTCGAGTAACGTAACCGCTTTCAGTGCCTAGAAGATTTCAATGCAGTGGACGATATGAATGACAAGCTCGTGGAAACTGTCCATGCGGTCGGAGCTAAGTTCTGCAAGACTCGCCGCAGAAGAACACAAAAACTTTCCGATCACAATCTTAATCTCATGGCTGCTAGACGGGAGCCGGTACAAGCCGGTTTCCGAAAAGGCTTCAGTACCATAGACCACATACATACCCTACGGCAGATTGTACAGAAGACCGAAGAGTACAATCTGCCAGTTTGCCTGGCGTATGTGGACTATGAGAAATCCTTTGATTCCGTCGAAATTTGGGCGGTCCTACAGTCCCTTCAGCGGTGCCAAGTTGCCGGTCGGTATATCGAAGTGCTGAAGTGTTTGTACAGTAGGGCTACGATGGCTATCCGAGTACAGAACCAGAGTTCGAAACCTATCCAACTGCAGAGAGGTGTAAGACAGGGTGATGTTATATCCCCGAAACTCTTCACCGCTGCATTGGAAGACGTTTTAAAGCTACTGGAATGGAAAGGATACGGTACTAACATCAATGGCGAGTACATCACTCACCTTCGATTTGCCGACGATATATTCCTTATGGCAGAATCGCTGGAGGACCTAAGCACTATGCTCAATGACCTCAATAGTGCCTCCCAATAGATAGGTCTTAAGATGAACGTGGACAAAACAAAGATCATGTTTAATGACCATGTCACACCTATGCCGGTAGTTGTTGGGAGCACTATGCTCGAAGTTGTTGACGAGTACGTTTACCTGAGACAAATAGTCAGACTAGGTAATTCCAACTTCGACCGAGAGGTCAATCGACGGATTCAACTCGGCTGGGCAGGCAGGATGCAGGTAGTTCAGGACCGTGCTTTGTGGCATTACTTGGGGGAGGCCTGTGTTCAGCAGTGGACTTGTGAAGGGCTGTAATGATGATGATGAATGATGAATTAAAATGTCAATTTTGGTAATTCAATCGTCAGTTTTTATTGTCACGAACCCCAAGCTCGTAACAATAACTTTAAAACTGATTTTACATTTCTCTGAATTTTGATCAACTTTCCTAAAATATTTCCACACATCACTTTGTTCTTCGCCAGGAGGTGGCATTCCGAAGAAGCAAACTAAGCAGAGCATCGGAATCAACAGTGAAAAACAACGAAGCCCTTTGTGGGCCCTGACTTCCTCCATAATATTCCTCCACTTGTCGCGATCCTTCGACGCCCTGCGCCAGTTGGTGTAATTACCCATTCTTCTCAGATCCTCTTCCACATTTTCTACCCAACGTTTTTTTGGTCTGCCTTTTGGTCTCTTTTGCTGGGGAGTCCACTTGGTCATGATTTTCACGGCCCTAGAATCCGGCATTGATTCCAGGTGACTGATAGGTAGACTTTACTTAAACATCATAAATACACAAATGAAACACATTTAAATCCAAATATTTCGCGTTATGATTCCATATAAATAATATTCATTCATCAAAATTACGAGGTATTGCTAGTAAATGGTCCTGGTCACACATGCGTTAATTTAATTATAATAGGGTTTTCCCCCGAAATCCTCACTCCATCGAGAGGGACGACGGGCGACGCTATACATCGGAAAAGGAAGTAATACGTTATACATCGACAAAGAACTATCTTCTGACTCTAGGAGGTTAGGGAACAGGTGAACGATCGCTACGAAAATCACATTTTAATATTTATTTATTAATAAATATTAATAATTTTGTTATTATCTTTTTTTCTCTTTGAATTATGTTATAGTTATTTCAAACTAGCGCACAACAGCCAGCTTTTATTGAGACAACTTAGCGATCACAGCGCCACACTTATTTTGTCCATATTTCCTGGACACTATTTTCTACAGCGCTCTGCTCCATCTACAGCATTCTCCTGTTCTCTAACCTCCATGTACTGACTTTTATCTGACAGCTTACTGTAGAAACAAAAGTATCGAGTAACTAAGAAAGTATCGATACATAGTAAAATGTACCTTCAAAAGTATCGATAACAAAATATTGGATATCGAACTTAAATATCGATAATACTCAGGTATCGATACTTTTTGCGGATCCCTATTGGCATTTCAGTCTATTATTTATTCTGTGATTCTGTTTAGTAGTGAGTAGGAGTAATAGTGTTCTGTGGTGAGTAGTCTGGAAACGTACCCAGTTATACAAAATACAAAATACTCTTTGGTAGTCTGTTTATATGTCACGGAGTGAAAATGTCAGTTGTTTTTATTCTGTGGTTTAGTCAGTCAGCCATGTTAAGTGTTTGATAAGGTGGTATTTGTTATAAATGGTGAAAAATAATAAGCTGTGAATATAATTCATAATTAGATTTTCCATAATTGTGTTAGTGAATATTCAATGTTTTTAGTGGAATTTTGGTGATATCTCAGCTGTGACAATGAATTGGGGTACCGAGCTTTGGGTAAGTGTATTACAACTACTATCTTTTTCCTTCCAGTTTCCTAGTGATTAACTGATTTTTTTATAATAATTGTATTTGAAGTTTTAATTACTGTGGCACAATACAGCTAAAACTAATTTAAGGACTTTCAGAGTATTCCATAGTGTCACAATTTTACGATTACAACTACAACTTGGAAAGTTCGCTAAGTTTGTAGTTTATAGTTATCTTTTTCAGAGTTGTGACACAGGAAGTTAGATTTACAGTAAAAGTGGTTAGATAATGTCTATTTAATTAAGTAACATTAAGAAATTAATCCACGGAGACATTTGTTGAATATCATAATTACCTACTATTAATATTTTTAGTAGAATATTAGGTTGTTCCTCTATTTTGTAAAATTGCACACAATTAAAATATTTAGTAAACTTAAAAATATTTAATAATGGTAGTAATTACCTATCTTATTCATGTTATTGGTTAATTTAAAAAAAATATCTTAATATAATTTTATAACTGTTTCCGTTCTAATTATGGTTATAATTTTACAAATAATAGTAATTATTTGTATTGAACCATATATGACTGTGGTGTTATGGTGTAAGAAAATCTACTTTATCATATTGCCCCATGGGTGTAGTAAGAGGTGCCGAGGGAAACAAACCAGGATATAGAGAGCACCATATTTCTAAAAAAAAAACTAGAAAAAAAGAAGTGGGGTTGAATGAGCATGGTGACTGGTAAAAATACTCTGTAGTTTGCTATCTGTGAGGGATAAGTTCAGCAGTGGATTTTGAATGGCTGTAATGAATGGTTGAATTATACTATGTATAAAAATAAAATAAATTTAGTTACAATGTACAAAAATTTAGTATATGTCTATAATACATATACTCATTGAATACTAGTAAAATGCTGCCTTTATAAATGTGTAAACTGCATAAGCAATCTATGGATTTTACTGAATGTTACTTTTGTCCAAAAAAGAAAGAGTTTCCGTAATTGAACCTATGGAAGTATTACTTCAAAATATAATATAATTATACAAATATGAATTTTAGAACACTTTAAAAGGGAAATAACATAATTAATTTTGATTATTTCATTTGAGTTGTTCACATTTTTACAATATTTCTGATTTTTTATTAATTTAATAAATTAATAATTTTAGTATAGTTTTTACTATTTTTTATAATATTTTCTATAAATTTCCATTATGTGACCACACTCTCACAGAATACCAGCTTAATGCTGCTGTGTTTTGTATGGTATGTAGAGAACCAGAGACCCATTTTACTAAAAATGAGACATTCCATCTTAGTCCTCAAGGGTGACAATGTATCTGTATTTTGATTCTTCATTGAGGATAAATGTAGATGTTTATGGGCCACAGTACCCACTACCATCAGGTGGACTGTGTGCTCGTTTGTCACCCTGTATATTTTATCAATTTGTAGTTGCACGCTAGTGGCTTTTAGCCAAGCCAAGCACATAAAAGGTTAAAGAACACAACCCGTTGTTATATAGTACGGTGTTCCAAAATACTATATTTCAAAATATATATTGTTCAAAATAATAATTAACTATTGAGAAATAAAAATGAAGAGGGGAAAATAGTTGTTAATAGCATAAGTACTTATTAATAAATCATTTAAGATCCTTTAAAGGCTTTTTATTTTACTTGCTTACCAAAAATACCTGATAATATCAAAAGATAATTAGTATTTAGGTAGTTGTTAGTTAGATACTCAACCGGTAGACTAAATACTCGCAAATATCGATATTATAATGGAACATCCCTCTTTGTTGTAGGTATCTATTTTTTTATTCATTATTCATCTGCCGGGCGCTGGGGGCATGACAACTGATTTGAAGTCGGGTGGTTAAAGGGCTAAGTCCACAATAATGAATTCTTTAATTTTTAGTTGAATTGGGTCATTTGAGCGATTAAGTTCACATTTTAAATTTGTGTGTTGTGAAAAGTTTACTGTAAGGTTATTCAATTATTGTGATTTTGTGTCTTAATTCAATAACTAAAGGTGCTTTAAAATCAATAAAAATGTCATTAACACCAGCGCTAGTTGCTCAAGCAGTAGCATTAATTGACCAAGGGCAGACAGGTGACACAGGCCGTTATACCCGCAGGCTAGGCAGTGGGGACGTAAGGTGCACATCAGCCCGGGACGATCGTTTTATTGTTTTGTTAATTTTGAGAAACCGCCACCTACCCACTGTTGAGATACGTCAGCGGCTCCAAATCGCAAGAGGCGTTAATGTTAGTGAGCGTACGGTGAGAAGACAAATTTAGGAAGTGAATTTAAGAGCTCTATGAGCTCGAGCAGCAACCCAGAACTTCTCAGATAGCACTGAGTAGACCAACTTCAGTTCGCAAGACAACATGTCAATTAGACCCATGAGCAATGGGCTAGAGTGTTGTTCACAGATGAATTTGAATAGCTTTACGTGCTCCAAACAGTCGAGAATGAGTGTGGACGAAAGAGGCAGAGAGGTTTTTACCCATTACATCAAGCAAACTGTGAGTTTCCATGGAGGGTTCAATAATGATATAGGGAGGTGTAAGTTCCGACGTACAGAGTTGGTTATCGTTGATAATCAGCTTACAGCTACTCAATACACCGAGGAAGTTCTTCAGGAGCATGTAATGCCTTATTCGGGGTCCATTGGATACAACCAATTCCTCCTAATGCAGGATAGTGCACGCCCACACGTCGCACATTGTGTAGAGGAATATCTGGAACATGTTATAGTATTTAATATACCAGAATCAAGAAATTTGCGTTAAGACGGACTGTGCGCAATCAGCCGTCCATTTCACTAAACAGCTCTGCAGTCAACTGAGTAGGGGCATTAGAGTTTCTGCAGCTGAGAGGATATGTTACAGTCAAAACTCATAACTGGTTTAGACCACTATTGATTGCAAAAATCAGGCAAAAATAAATTTTGACTAAGGACGCTGATCGAAACCACTTTTAGCTGCAATTCGGAATAGTAATTGTGGCCAAATTATGTTGAAAAAAAAAGGATTGAAGAAAGGATGTTAAATTTTTCATCATTATATTATGTACATGGGTTGAGTATGGGCCAAGGGTCATCCCAGCCACACCTAAACCTATTGTCACTGATTATGCGAGTTTTGACCGATAGTCTGAACTTTAAATCAGGCAAAACCACTTTTTAATAAGAATGTTGGTCAATACCACTTTTGACTAAGGGCATTTGTTAAAACCATTTTTGCCTGATTTTCAAAGTCAAAAGTGGTTTAGACCAGTTATAAGTTTTGACTGTAACATAATTTAAACTTTAGAAACAAGTTACAGAGAGAATGTGGAAAGCAGACTTAGAACCTTAAATATATCTCAACATGAATTTTGCAATCTATTTTCAGATGATAAGTCACCTTAGCACCTCATGTATATTTGTGTGACAAATAAGAATGGTCCACCTGAGATAGTAAATGGCTACGAATACTCCTAAGGACTAAGATGATATACCTCCAAGTCTTTAATTATATTATGCCTCTAATGTCTTAAATTATATTAAAAATTTATCATGGTAATGGGTGAATTACTGCTTAATGACAGAAATAAAATAGAATATTTTTTATAATATTAATATAGATTATTCTATACCTTTAAATATCAAATAACCAGTTTTTTTCTATTATGTCAATAAGATCAAAAAATATTATTCATGTTTCATACATATGCAATTTGTATCTAAATGTAATTTCAAAAAAAAAACCGAGCAAATCTCGGTCATCTAGGTACTAGGATTAATTTTGAATATTATTTAAACTTTAATCACTTCTTTGTAAAACTACCAAGAGGACTTTTAAAAATAATAATTTACAAAAAATAGTGTACAATCATTGAAATAATATGTAATTACATACTAGAACAGCTATTTCAAACAAAAAAATGTGTGCTATTCTGTGTGCTATTCTGTGTTCACGCGGTTGTTTTTTTTATCATAGAATAAACATAGGTAAAATGATCTGTAGGTAATAGTAGATTGTATTGTTAACTAGATAAATTATATCGAGACTGATATTTAAATTTTGTCATTTATTTTGTATATTATATATTGCTTATTTTATATAATATTAGATATAATATATCACAATTACATTTTAATGATATTTTTATCTGAATATCTTAAAAGGTATCTATGTCAAATATAAAAAAACATACTGAATGTATGTTTAACAAAACTTAGTAACATAACATTTAAATTAGAAATATATTTATTTAAATTAGAATAAGAGTCCTTCATAAATGCTGGGTATGCGAGAGTTAAAAATGGACGAATTTAATCCTTTTTGACTTTGATGTGGAAACCTAAAAATAAACTAAAAGAACAATAAGCAGATTTAAATATGAAAAATTTTGCCTTTAATTATATTAACTTACATATATTTGTACAAAAAAATGTGTATAATAATATATTCGTCCTATGCTTAAGTATCCACAGATATGTCGCATCTGAACATATTAATTTCATAATCTATATTCCATGACACGAGATGGCGTCTTACAAATAATTTGTTTTATTATTAATCTATAATACTTTTTCTTCTTATTAACTGATGAAAAGTAATTCCTTGGTTTTTACCGATATTTCGCGAATTATTTGTGCAATATCTAAGTACACACGATGGCATATTTTTATCAATATATTTTTTTTAAATCAACACAACACGTGACAACTCTACAAGCGCCTAGCGAGTAACTGATTAAAGTGCGGTGTATGCACCGCAGTTGAGTGGAACAGAGTAGCTGAATGCAGTGTCGCCTCTCCAGTATGTAGTACATAATAGCTCAATGTGTACAATTAAATAATTTCGTATGAAATGTATACTTTTGCAAATGGCCAAGGTTATATATTATATTTATCTATTTCTTTAAGAGTCCTAATTTGGATTTAGGTTATAAATTGCTATTATGGCTCTCTCCTGCAAACAAAGATAGTTTCAATGTCAGTTGCATTAGCTTTAGCTAAAT